TTTTTCTACTTTCTGAGTTGGGCCTAATACATGTGGTCTTGCCTTAGACAATGGTTTGGGGTTAGTGAGATGGGTAAGAGCCACATAAAACCTTTAGGACTTTTGCCAGATAGAGGCTTCATTTTTTCAGTCTCTTTACTCAGTTGTCAAGAAACGCCAAATTTTTACTATTTCAAAGGAGAAGGCAGATTTAGAGACCCCCTCCTATGTCTCCTAATCATATAACTTAATATTAAAAAAGTATGGTGGGAAAGATGCTTATCTGCTTTTTCAGTTTACTTCCTGGATTTAACTTCTGAGTCTGGCTCTTCGGATATTTTCTAGTAATATAATTTCCTTGTCTCCCCATCTGTCTGTCCTACCTCATTAAGACCTGGGTAACATTCAGAGTCTGATCCATAGATCTCCTGGAGTGTTACAAGCCCACTCCCATTCCCACTCCAGCCATATGCCTTTGTGATTGTACCCTGACCCCATATGTATTATGTCTATTTCAGTCTTAAAGAAAAGGCAGCCAGAGGAACAGAGCTTTACAGCAGCTTTGCTCTGCTTCATGAAATATGAAAGGCTGTTTACTTAGTAACAATAACAATTTGGGGCTGAGGAGTTTATGCGTGACACAGATTGCTGGACCGTGTGGCAGGAGCCATGAGGTATAGTGATAGTATGTTGTACCTGAAATTGGATGGTGGATGATTAAACATACCACAGGCCCAGTGCTTTTCCCAATTCTGCTCAGGTAGTTGGGGTTTTGTTCTTTAGCATCCATCTCTTCCCTCCCTATAAGCAGTCTATAGTTCCTCTTTGCAGGTCATGGGCTCCTTAGTGTTCAGTTGGGAACGGCAGGCTTGCCCTTTCTTTCCTCAGCCCCAAATCATCTTTTTGTGGTATCATTCTTTGTAATCTTAGGAGTTGAGAGATTTCAAATCAATAAGGAAGAGGCAGTGTGAACTTGTCCAAGCTAGTTTTTTCTTGTGCTTGTATGTACAGAGAGAGAGGAGGGAGGGAAGGAGGTAAGGGTGGAGGGAGAAAAGAAAGAGAATTTCCTGTAATCTAAGGCATTCTGAAGTTAACTCAAATAATTCAAAACAAAAATAATATGCTCATTTTTGTAAATATCGACATCCCAGAAATGTTGATAGGTATAAGTAGAATTAAAATAAAACTAACCAAGTATACAAATGTAGCACACATTTTTTTTTTTTTTTTTTTTAATTTTGTTTTTGGGTCCGGTCGTGGGGCCTGAACTCTGGGCCTGGGTGCTGTCCCTCAGCTCTTCAGCTCAAGGCTAGCGCTCTACCACTTGAGCCACAGCGCCACTTCCGGCTTTTTTCTTTTTGCTTATGTGGTGCTGAGGAATCGAACTCAGGGCCTCAGGCATGCAAGGCAAGCGCTCTACCACTGAGCCACCCTCCCAGCCCCTTAGCATACATTTTTATATGTACTTCACTTACTGAATAGATTAGTCGTCTCATTTCTAGTATGAGATCAGAGGCAAGAATAGTGTGGAACCTGTAAAGGGCCAGGATATTAGACCTGAGAGACACAGGGAGGCTATTTACCAGGCCTCACACTTACAGTAATAATTTTTCCAAAGGCAAGCATGCAACTCTGGGCTGAAAATGACAATTGAGACATCTATCCATTGAAATCTCTGAGCTCGGCACCCTTCCAAACTAGCATCTCACTATAAATGGGTTTGTGGCCAGCCTCTCCATCCTGATTTCCAGAGCCCTGATGGTGCTTATTATCTATCTCCAGGGTTACTTTAGGTTTTAAACAAAACAACAACAAAAAAAACTTAATCTTTTTAATTTTCACATAGATGAAGGGGTGATGTTATAAAGTTAAATGAATAGAGTAGCCCCTCTGCAAAAGGTAGGAAATCACTAGTATAGATGTTTTAGTCCATTTGCAGAAAATTGCCTATTCTCAAATAGATAGGTCAAGTGCACAAAGAATCACTACTTGAGCTAAAAGTTTTATTCCACATTTGGCTTTACTCATCAAGACAGGCAGCCAAGAGGTATCCAGAATTTAACATCCTGCTATCTTCTTACTAGCAGGTTTTTTTGTTTGTTTGTTTGTTTGTTTTGTTTTTTGTTTTTTGCTAGTCCTGGGGTTTGAACTCGTAGCTTTGGGCATTGCCTCTGAGCTGCTTTTCCTCAAGGCTAACACTCTTGAACCACAGTGCCACTATCTGCCTTTTCTGTTTATGTGGTCGTGAGGAATAGAACCCAGGACTTCATACTTGCTAGGCAAGTACTCTATCACTAAGCCAAATTCCTCCAGCAAGATTAAAAAAAAAATTTAAGATGTTTATATTTATAGTAGAACTTGCTTACTTCATAGGATGACATTAGAGAATAAATTCCACGTCTTTATTTTGCAATGATAAAAATTAAGGAGTGTGAGCTGATTTGCTTAAAGGTAGTATTGCCCACTCCAAGTCAGGGCCAAGTGTGGCATCACACCTGCCTACCCAGCAGGTATCCCCTTGGCTGGCTTAGAGTACATGGTGCAGTTGCTTTGCTTGTTTGCTTTTGATTTTTTTTCTTTTAAGGTACCTGGTAGAGTACCTAGGTAATAGAGGGTTAAGTTATAAACAGGGGAAAAGAACCTAAGAAGTTGAATGATGTAAACAGCAAAGATTATTACTTTTTCCTTTCCCATACTGCTTTCTCTCTTTCACCAAAAAAATTAAAAAAAAATTTTGTGAACATGTTGAAGAACTTATAATAAACCTAGAAGAGGGAAATGTTTCAGGACTCTCCTAATAAAAAATGGTTTATGCAAATTTAGGAAACTCATTTCCATTTGGATCTGGACTTTGGTTCACAAGTGTGCCAAACAGATTTTGTACTTGGGCAAGCAGAATTACCTGTCATCAGCATTTCATAAATATAGAGCTCTCAGGTCTGTGAGAGAGGCCCCATCACATCTTTCTGGACTAGAGCCAGCCCCAAGGGCTCTTTTGTAAATTTTCTTCAACATTTACACCAGCATGATCAGTTGTTTTCCAAGCTCTCTTTGCCTGGGTACCAGAAAACTTGTAAAGCTTGTTCTATGCTTAGGAATGCGCCTGTGGTCATACCTACACCATTACCTCAGTTTCAGAAATTGTCTTGTGAGCATTTATAGCCTCTTGTTAGGTGTTAAGTGGCTTTGGGGCTATAGTCCAAAGTGACTGACCCAAAGAGAAATCAGTGAATTAGAGTTGATAGCAAGTTATTCTTATCCATGAACTGAATAGGTGTGACTACAAGCCACATTTTCTTTTTCCCTTTTCTCTTTTTCTTTTTTTTATTGTCAAGGTGATATACAGAGATGTTACAGTTATATAAGTAAGGTAATAAGCACATTTACAAGACACATTTTCTATCTGTAAGTTTCTCTCTGAGGGGATGATGGGGCAGGGGCTTGGTGAAGCTGCAGGATCTGTGGATTTTGTCATTTTTGGTGTCTGTATATGTCTGGCTGGGTTCAGTTTTGGGTTTGTGGGCATATTGTCTGACAGTTTATCATAAAAACCCATCTCCTTCCAGACGGGGAACCCTCTAGCTCCCCACATCTATCTATCTGAAATTTTTCAGATTCAAATTAAAAACAAAACAAAAACCAAGTTACCTGAGGAAGTTGATTTGAGGTTAGAGCATTTGACAGGTTAGCATTGGAGCCTTACCTGGAAGAATGCCAGCTGATAAGGAGATATCACCATCTCTGTGAGTTACCTGGGGCCATTGCAGCAGGGACTAGTAATCCTGCAAGCTTCCAGAGCCCTCTTGGTGTCATTCAGCTAAAGCACAACATGACAGATATTCACTGCACCCCTGAAAAGCCAGATTAGATTCTCATTCTTTCTAAAGTTTTGATCTAGGGGAATGTAATAAGATATAAAAATGTAGGCAAAGCCTGGCGCTGGTGGCTCGTGTCTGCAATCCTAGCTACTAAGGAGGATGTAATCTGAGGATTGAGGTTCAAAGCCAGCTGGGGCAGGAAAGTCAGTGAGATTCTTATCTCCAGTTAACTACCAGAAAACCAGAAGTGGCACTGTGGCTCAAAGTGGTAGAGGGCTAGCCTTGGGTTGAAGAGCTCAGGGACAGCATCCAGGCACTGAATTCAAGCCCCATGACTGACAAAAAACAACAAAAATGTAGGCAAGTACTGAAGATTATCTCTACTCCCCTCTTCTTATCTTCTTACTTCTTTTCTACCTCCTTTATTCCTCCCTTTGAACCTCCCTTCCTCCCCTCTATCATTCTCAAGTGTTAACACAAGCTTTTGAAAAATACACATGGTATTCATGGTGTTATAGGTCAAAATGGTACCCACTCTGCTAGAGACTCTTTGGGTTTTTCTTTGAAGCCTCCAGATTCTTTCATTGGGCTTTTGTTTTCTTATAGTCCTTTTGGCCTTGCCTTTGGCACCTCAGTATGTTTATTATCGATCACTTTTGGTTAGTTCTGTAAACATGGACGCCGCCTCCCAGGTGGCACTGAACGTCCTAGCTACAGCTGCCTTTGACTATCCTCACCATGAACTCTGAATGGCAGCTGAGGAAGTAGTCACTCCATATATTTTGGTATTGCCATCATTTTGTTCTATTTTGATGGCATCTGGGCCCTGGGTTATAGACCTTCTCTCTGCATGGGGCCCTTTTGTGCTTTCCAAACATGCAGCCCTGCTAATACCAGCAAGGGCTGCTACATGAGGTGTCTGACCATTGTTCCATCTGTTCTAGAGTCAGATAAAGGGGCTGTTGGGGAGGGGAAGCTTCTGTTTGTGGTAGTTGTTGGGTATTCATCTTGATAATCAGCTTTCTAGATAGTCTTGGATAATACATTCCTAAAATGTGGGAAGAAAAAAAATGCTTCTATGCATTTCATTGTATCGAATTATTGTGTTTGTATGCATATATATATATATTTGATTGAAGAAGAAAAGTAATCCTGCCTTTGTACACAACCCTTTTATAACAAATTGTTTGTTATTGTGTTCAGGTTACAAGCATGGTAAGTATTTTCACCAAACTGAGTAGTATTCTTGTATTTTAGCTGTGCTTGGCAGACTTTTTTTTTTTTTTTTTTTTTTTGCTAGCTTTGTGTTATAAGTCTTGGCTTTTCTAGAAAAGATCCCCATTTAGAAAAGAGGAAACCACTCACCTGTAGTGTTCCCTACTTTTTTGGCTTTCCTAAGAAGCCCTGTAGCCTTAGACCCAAATGGGGATTCTGGGGAAAGCATGTGCCTCCTGCCAGCATGCTGCTTGGCCCACCCCCTACCCACCTGCTGCTTCTGAGCTTCCCCCTGCAGGTCACTGCCAGGGCTTGACCCCAGCAGAGCCTGGACTGTGGCCCCCAACAGCAGGCACATATACAGGGCTCTCCAAGTGCTCTGTAGATTGTTCTGACCCAACCCACATCCATATTTCCTCTCCCTCCTCATATCTGTACACCTGAAGGCAAGTCCTTTTCTGCCCCTACTGTGTTAAGTAATTGGAAAAATCTCCTGGAAACTGAGATATTACACACTCACACATGCACACACACACACACACACACACACACACACACACACACACACACTGTATACTCTTCTCAGAGGCTTTCTGTTCTATTGAAAAATGGATTTAAGATTTTAAAAACAAAAACCCTGCCACTGGGTATTCTTAGTGAAGAGTTCTAGTAGGCTGTTTTTGCCTCCTGGCTGTGTTTATTTATCCATGCATGTTTGCTTTTCTGGCCCCTGTTGTGGCTCTGTATTTTAGTCCATGTGCTCGTGGCTGTGCCTGTTTAACCTGTCTGGGAGCCATGCATTCTGTATTAAGTCAGTGTGTCACTGTCATCTTCAAGGATCAGACTGCAAAGGACAAGGCCCTGCAACACATGGCAGCCATGTCATCAGCCCAGATCGTCTCTGCCACTGCCATTCACAACAAGCTGGGGCTGCCTGGGATCCCACGCCCCACCTTTCCTGGGGCACCAGGGGTAAGTCAGGCCATACATCAGGAGTGATGGCCACTAGGGATAAAGAAGATTTGATATGGTCATGCCTCGAGCCTTTCACCTGGCACTTCTTATTAGCTGGGTCGGTTGTACAAAAGGGCAGAGATCACATAGTATTGAATTGATGCTGGCTGCAAAGTGATAAAAGAAAGAATGGAAGGTTCCAGAGCCTAGAGTGAGAGAGAAAGGGAGGAAGAGAGGAAGAGGAAAAAGAGGGCAAAAGGAATCAATTTGTAAAGACATGGAATTTAAGTATGACATTCTAATGCCCTTAGATTATGGAGATTATGACCTATGTCTTTAGTTCTCTTTGTCTTTTTCCTGGCCCTTGGTCTCTGTTCCTATGTCTTAGGGTCATTTTATTACAACTAACCTCCAAAGGACCAAAATACTCTGTTGGTATATTCATTTAGCCCCCTACCAGGAGCTGAGAAGCATTATATTATCATCTCATTTAATCCTTAACACTTCTTGAATAATTTGGTGTTACTGCCATTACAGATGAGAACATTGAGGCTACTTTAGTGACAAAGCATCAGTAGGGGCAGCTTTTATCGAAGTCACATGGATAGTGATGTCAGCACAGTTCCAAGTCCTTCAGACTCCAAAGGCTGTTTCCTTTTTTGGCTAGGTAACAAACAGTAGGTGCCAAATGCTCCAGGGACATAGCAAAGAAGGTACCTGTGTTGCTTCTCCAAACTCTTGGCTTTCTTGTTCTGAGCTTTGTCCACTCCTTTTCTGGGCCTTGGACATTCCTAGGGATGTACTTGAATGCTGCAAATTGTGGAAGTGGAATATTACACAGAGAGCCCTTGAGAATGGAGAGAGGGAGAGAAGTATGGGTCTGTGCAGGGGTAAAGCAGGCCTGTGAAGCCCTGTTGAGCCTCTGCAGTGCACTGGCTATGATAGGTATAGTTAGAACTCTGAAGAGCTACTGCTTAGTCTCTTATGCTCATTATTTTTAGGAGCTAAAGAAGTCCTAGGTTTCTTAGTCACAGTTACTTTTGTGCACAGTGGTGACCATGTCTATACTTGGGGTAGGTGATGCTACAGCTGGTGGGTGATGGGAATTTGCCTATCCTTCAGCAGGACTTGAAGTATGTATACATCCTAAATTGTGCTTTGTCTTTTGCCTTCCAGTTTTGGCCTGGAATGATACAAACAGGGCAGCCAGGATCCTCACAAGAGTAAGTCAGGGATGGGGTACTGACAAAGTGGGAGGCTTGGTCAAATCCCATACTGGGGCAAGTTTTCCCTGTGTCTGTTTGTCTCATGGACTAGTAGAGAAATAAAGATATAAGCTTCCCCCATCTTCCTCTAAACTCTGGGAGTTGCAAAGGGACAGACATCTCCGATCCAGGTGTGATGTGTAAGCACCTTGTTCCCACTTTCAATAGTAGTAGTCATCCAGCTGGGAACAGGAAACAGGGCAGAGCTTGGGTTCTTCCTTGCCTGAGAAGGCAGAAGAAGTGGTTCTATAGACTTTTCTATTTGGACTCTCTGGGCTATGAGTGGCTGATGGAAAATCCTACAGATGCCTTGGAGCAAATAAGCTTAGTACAGTGGAGTTCAAGACATTTTGAGGATAAAGCAGAAGTTGAAGTGTTTGACCCAGAAAAGGAGAGTCTGAAGCATGTCCCAAACCTTGCCTGGACATGATAATTGCTGACCTTCTTCTCTGTGGGGACAGAGGCAGCTGTCACAGTATGTCCAGTCCCATTGAACTGTCATGAGGCCTTGTGGATCCAAGGCAGCCTGCTGGCCTCACTAATGGAGAGAGCAGCCACCTCTGTGTTGCCAAGGCCTTGCCAGGGATGTACTGTCCCCTGTAGGCAGGGAACCATACAGGACAAGGGGGGTGAGTTACCTTAGAGAGAGGCTGAGCTGTATAAATACTTCTCACCCATTTGTCTCCAGTGTCAAGCCCTTTGTGCAGCAGGCCTACCCTATTCAGCCAGCGGTTACAGCCCCCATTCCAGGTGAGTCTTCCTGGTTCTCCTCTTGGGACTGAGTAGCCTCCCCTTCCCCCTATCCCAACTGGTTTCCAGAATGGGATGATGCTTATCTTTGCCACAACTGTACATTTCTTCTGTCATATAGAATAATAACTGCCCTTCTCCCATTCCTTCCTGAGGGAAAGGACCTAGCTTGGAGCTCATGTGGGGCCCAGGTCCCTGCGAGGTCCAGAGTCCCTTCACTCACCTCCTGAGTCTTCAGATGGGTTTGTAAAGGAATAGGAAGCCTAATCACTTTCACTTAAGACAGTGGTCATACTCAGAAGGGGAAGTTGTTGCGGTTTCCTACTTCTCATATGCAGGCTGAATTGAGCAATTCAAGTCTTAGCAACAAATTAATGGTTTTACTCACCCTTTTAGAGATTTCAATTCTGTGTATCCTTTCTGTAAAGGACAGCTTACCTGGAAGTCCAGAGTAGAAAATGCCTAGTCAGGCAAATTCTCCTATTTCCCTCCCACCAGACTCTCGAGTAAACTGCTCAAGGTACTGCATAAGAACCATTGTTCACCAGATTTACCCAAACTGAATTACATGTTGCCCTCTGTTCCAATATTATGGGGCATCCTAAGGGAATATTCTGTACCATTTTAAGAAAGCATTGCAGGGCATGCCTAGGTCTCACAAAACGTTTTTGGAGACATTCCCTCAAAATCCTTAGCCATTCTTAGTCTGTACTCCTTTGTCCAGGATTAGCTGTCCTCTTACCACAGTTTTAGCCTTAGTTCAAGTTGGCTTCACTAGGAGCTTATACATTTTACTTGTTCAGCTGGTCCCTCTCTCTGGGATCCTTGACCCGAATGTTAACCCTGCCTGTCTGATTCCACCCCTGGAAGGTAGTGGAAAAGGGATCTTGACTTTTCCTTCTAGGTCATCCCTTTTTAGAGCCCTAACCCATTACTGGCCTGAGTTCTGTTGGGAGACAAATGGACAACTCTAAAGGTGATGATTGGTTTTTCAGGGTTTGAGCCTGCATCAGCCCCAGCTCCCTCAGTCCCTGCCTGGCAGGGCCGTTCCATTGGCACAACCAAGCTTCGCCTGGTGGAATTTTCAGCTTTTCTCGAACAGCAGCGAGACCCAGATTCGGTGAGTGTATCAAGATAGGTGTGTCTTGACTCAGGATTTGCTTCCCATCCTCTTTCACCTTCTTGCTCTTCTGTCTTTCATCCTTTTCCCTCATTCCTGACAGGTAACCTGTGTGAAAACAAACTTGGAATAGCCAAGCATCCCCTTACCCTTTCCTTTTTGATGTATGTCAAACCTTAGACCTACATGTTTATTGATGTTCAGACCTAGATGGAAGACCCTTTGTAGGCTCTGTATCAAATAAAATTTAACCATAGGTGTCATTTATTGAGCCTTGCCATGAGGAATGGTATTGTGCAAAGGTATTGAGATATCTCATCACTTTATTTATTTATGTTTTTGGTCTGTTGTGGGGCCTGAACTCTGGACCTGGGTGCTGTTCCTCAGCTCTTCAGCTCAAGGCTAGTGCTCTACAACTTGAGCCACAGACCACTCTGGCTCTTTCTGCTTATGAGGTACTGAGGAATCAAATCCAGGGCCTCATGCATGGGAGGCAAGCATTCTACCACTGAGCCACCTTCCCAGCCCCTCTCATCACATTTTATCCTCACAGAAACCCTATAGGGGTAGGTACTATCTGATAGATGAAGTAAGTGTTTAAGTGACTTTCCAAAAGCCACATAGTTAATATCTGATGGATTAAAGATTAAAACTCAAGCCCAGCATGGTGGCTTAAGCTTGTAATACTAGCTGCCTGGGCGTCAAAATTACAGGCCAACCAAGGCAAATAAAATTCTGCAGACTTCCAGACTCCACCTCAACCAAAGGCTGGATGTTGTGGAACACACTTGTCATCCCAGCTACAGGAAAGCACAGTGGCTGGATGTGGTAGCTTATGCTTGTCATCCTAGAGATATGGAAAGCACAAATAGGAGGGTCAAAGTCCATTTGGCCTGATTGGAAATCAAGACCTATCTTGAAAATAACCAACACAAAAATGGCTTAGGCACATAGCTTAAGCAGTATAGCCCCCTAACTATCAACATAAGGTCCTCAGTTCAAAAGTCTTAATAAACTGCCCCCTTTCAAAAAAAAAAGATTGAAATTCCAGTCTTTTAATCTCCAAAGCCCAAACAACTATTATTCTATACTGCTTTTCCAAGTCTGGATTTGTTGTTTTTGTTGTTGTTGTTTTAGTTTTTTTCAAAATAGCAAGTTATCTTTTTTGGGAGAAATAATGAAGTGGTACTTGGACAGCTGAACATAGAATGCAACGCATGGTAATATCATAAATACCAGTAACACTGGCATCTGGACTCTTATTTGTCATTTACTTCTTTCCCTTCTTCCCTACCCATCTTGTACCCATCGTCTCATCATTGCCCATACATATGCGATCCTCCTTTCTTTCCCACCCCATGAGCCTGTACCCTTTCTTCACACCCACTCTTTGGCTGCAAGTGTGAGTGCTGCATCTGTGTGTGGGTGAGCCCCAGGCAGAAATTGAAGGAATCATGAGTTAGTCTTTGGGATCCTCACCAGCTCCTTTCCATACTCCTATCTCTGTACTCTTCCCATTTCAGAAGCTACCCAAAGCATGTAAATCTGAGGCTCATTGTGTGTCACCAGCTTTGCTGTTACCCTGTTATCAGGAGAAAGTATCATGGACATGCTTGAAGTCTGTTGTAAATAACCAAGATAGTATGCATTGCAAGACACCTCCATAGTGAAGAAGTGTGCTCCACTTGTGGAGAAAGCCCCTGTGAGTGGGTAGTAGGAAGATGCCTTTGGCAGAACTCAATCAGCCATCATAGGAGTAGAGACAGGAAACTATGTGGTGGTCACTGACATGCGCATGTAAGAATTATGAACTCTTAATAGCTGGTAGAAAAAAAGAGCTGTGCTGAGTGCCAGTGGCTCACACCTGTGATCCTAGCTACTCAGAAGGCTGAGGTCTAAAGAAAATCTGTAAGACTTTCCTTCTCCCTCCCCTCCCCTCCCCTCCCCTCTCCTCCCCTCCTCTCCCCTCTCCTTCCCCCCCCCCCCTCTCTCCCTTTCTTTTATTCTATCTTTATTTTTTAAATTTTTTTATGTTATTATAAAGGTGGTGTACATAGGGGTTACAATTATATAAGTCAGGTAAAGAATACATTTCTTTTTGGACAATGTCACATCTTCCCTCATACTCTGCTTTTTGTTTTGTTTTGTTCCCCAGTCATGGGGCTTAAACTCTGGGCCTAGGCACTTATCCTTGAGCCACAGTGCCACTTTGAGTTTTCTGGTTGTTTATTGGAGATGAGAGTCTCACAGACTTTCCTGCCTGGGCTGACTTTGAACCACGATCCTCAGATCTCGGCCTCCTGAGTGGCTAGGATTACAGGGTGAACCACCAGCACCTGGCTCTCTCTCTCTCTCTCTCTCTCTCTCTCTCTCTCTCTCTCTCTCTCGTTTTTTTTTTTTTTTTTTTTGTCGGTCGTGGGGCTTGAACTCTGGGCCTGGGCGCTGTCCCTCAGCTCTTCAGCTCAAGGCGAGCGCTCTACCACTTGAGCTACAGCGCCACTTCCGGTTTTCTGGTGGTTTATTGGAGATAGGAGTCTCACGGTCTCTCCTACCCGGGCTGGCTTTGAACCACGATCCTCAGATCTCAACCTCCTGAGTAGCTAGGATTACAGGCGTGAGCCACCAGCACCCAGCTTCTCTCTCTCAGTTTTATAGACCACTTTATCTCCAATAAAAAACAACTAAAAAAGCTGAAAGTGAAATTTGATCAACTTATAGAACTCTAGCCTTGACCAAAGCTCAGGGACAGGTTGTGCTAGGCGCTGAATTCCAGGACACCTTCCCACCCCTACCTCCCTAACACAGAGTAGTATAATCTCAGAGCTGGTTTGAAGCCAGCTCAGGCATGCTCTTACCTCCAATTTACTAGCAAAAAGACAAAAGGGGAGATGCTACTCAGTTGTTAGAATGTCAGCCTTTTCAGTAAAAGCCATAAGTAAGAGTATGAGGCCCTCAGCTCAAGACCTAGAACTGGCACCCTACCCAAAAGAAAGAGAAAGAGGAAGAAGAAAACATAGAGCTGCTTCAAGTCTAGGGAGGAAATAAGAAATAAGGCAAATAGGTGTAAAGTAGGTTGGGGCCTGGGGAAGATACAGTGAAGTTGCTGAGATCAGAGGGATAGACTGCCTGGACTGCCCTTCTTCAGAGATTGGGAACTTTGAAAGAACATTATCACTAGTGGGTTAAAACCCATACCTGTGGTCATTAAAATAACAACAGAAGGATTACTTTTTACCATCTTGTGCTTCCTGTTGTTTCTGGAAAGGGCACATGGTCCTTTGGTTGAAGGCTGGGTGCTGTCCTTCTGCTTCCTGTAACTCATGTTTGTACAGCATCCTATTGTTTGCAGAGTACTTTGTTATTGACTTTTGCATTATGTCTTCATAATGCCTAACAAGATAGGCTTTATTGTTCTCCTTTTACAGAGGAAGAAACTGAGGCTCAGGTACATTTAAGTTACTTAGAGTATTTAGCTGGTAAGCAGAGGAGTCAGGAGTCCAAATCTCCTATCTTCTATGTACTTCTTGTCTCTACTGCACACTACATCAGTTTGGAAGGTCTCTTGAATTTGCCCATCTAATCTGAGCATCTCCTGGGTGAGCAGCCTTTCTATCTCTGCGTGGGGCCATTTTTAGGAACAGAGCTCCAAGGCACTAGGAAGCAAAAACCCCAAGATGATTTTTATATCCTTGGTTAGAAAGACCATGGACAGTAAAAAAGATGTTTTTAATTGAGACCCCCCCCCCCCAGTTGTTGCTATATTCCCAAAATGTGGACCTGTCGGGTCTCAGAATGCTCCTTTTCCTCTTTTTATTGTTCCTGTTTTTTGTTAAGCTTAACATTTTGAGTGACTAGTTGATTTATTCAGTCTATTGTGTAAACATTTATGTGCAACTGCTTGTGCAAAGGAAAGGCTGTAAAGGAAGAGAGATCTCTGCTACCCAGACGGGCGGCCTCAACCCTTGCAGACTATAGCATCTAGTGAAGGGGATAGATAATTAGGTGTGAATCATTGTGACGTGTGGCAACTGCTATGGAGGAAGGATGCTGAAAGCAGTCCGTGAGGTATTGGAGGGCAGACTTCTCGGTGGAGGTAACCATTAAACTGTGGAGTGGAAGATTAGGTATGGTGGAATAATACTGAAACACATTGCAGAGGTGACGAACCTGATGTGTATAAGGCCATGAGTGGAACTAGAGACTGTTTTAGTAGAGCCAGGCCTTACCAAGTCTCAGAGCAGAATGCAAGGTACATATTTCATATATTTCCAGAAGGACATGTGCTAAATGAAAGGCTTCAACTGGATTTGAATTTTTACAGTTAAATAAAGTTTAAAATCCCTGTATGTGACTTCAAAAGCCTTTGGTATGAGTCAACAACCTTTGGTCACTGAAGAAACTGATTGATGGTATGTCTATTAATGAGGAACTGGGTGCCATTGAGACCATTTGAACACCTACCATATGCCAAACAGTGTTTCAGCATTAGAAATATAGCAGTGGAGAAGATAAAGTGTTGAAAAAGACAATATCTGGTCTGTCTGTCTCTGTCTGTCTTTCTATCCATCCATCCATCCTAGCTATCTATCCTATCTGTCTTGTCTGTCTGTCTGTCTGTCTATCTATCTATCTATCTAAAATCATTGTGTATGAGGCAAGCCAAAATCTGCAGATGATTAGGTCGCTTATATGAAATGTCCTAGTGTTTGCATACAACCTATGGACATATTCGTCTATACTTTAAATCATCTCTGAATTACTTACAATACCAAATTTGTGTAAATGCTGCAGAAGTACTTGTTCTGCTATGTTACTTAGGGGAAAATGTCAGTACATGTTTAGTGCAGGTGCAGTTTGTTCTGGTGGGGAAGATAGTTTCAGTCTGAGGCTAGTTAAGATAAGAATGCATATTCCATAGGCTTGATATTAATTGTACAACATATGCTAAAGGATGCTAAGTACCAGTGTGGCAATTGAAAGCTATTTGCTCTTTAGATTAA